TGGAATAAACTGTGTCATGACCCAAAAAGAAGTAAGTTAATAAGGACCCTAATGGGGTTAGGAAAGACTAACCTGGCCTGAGGACTGTAGTCTGGGATATAAAGCGAGATGTCCCCAGGAAGAGTCAACCTTTAAGCTTTATATATTTCTTACTGTGTTCATAAAAAAATGACTAGAAATATTATAAGAAGTAAATTTACTATGATTGCTTAAATAGATTACTAGCTGAGGAAAATAGAAAGCAATACACCCTTGATGGATTCCCACCACTGAATGGATCTTCTAGTAATCTGGAGTGCTGAACTCTCAGATGAGATTTTGTCCTTGAGTTAATCCCCTAGAATTTACCCTGAAGAAGTGGCTTTACCTCTGTTGTTATGACAATGTTCAACCCCACCTATGTGTACTCCTGCCCTTCACAATTGCTATATGACTATGCTGTAAGGGGAATTGACATATGCATTAATATATGCCTCAAAGACCTGGGCCCTAAGAAAACAGGATGAGAATGCTATTCGTATCTCCTAAAGAGGAATCGAAAAAGCTGTGCTTGCAGTATCACGCTTCACTCAAGTCAGAGAAAGAATCCAGAGTTCCGACCTCTGTCGACGATCAAGAATCAGGGATGCTGTCTCATTTGCCAAGGTGTCGAAAATCAGATGGGCTGGACACATAATGAGATTTGGAGACGACCGCTGGACTAGAGCCATAACCAACTGGATTCCATAAGACATCAAAAGATTGTGTGGCCGCCCACCTACAAGATGGTCAGACTTCTTCCTCAAGACCCTGAATGACCAGTTTAAGGTTCTTTGTGTTCCTAGAACGAGCAAACACCATTGGGTTACACTAGCACGCGACAGGGACAAATGGAAACCTTACTGGAGCCTACTCAAGGAAATCGATAGGTAACGAATGTCAAGTGATCAAGTGATTAAGTAAGGGGAAAGGAGGGACTAGGAGACTAAAACAAGACAACGAAGAGGATATAACAAGATAGAGGACTTTGAGGTCTATGAGAAGACTAGGATGATGGAACTATGATGACTGGGACTATGATCAAAATCGACTACGATTGTGCTGTAAGGGAGAGATCAGACTATGCTGGGGAAGATAGAGAAATAAACTGACGCCCAACAAGCCTTGGGGCCCTGTTTCTCCATTTCCTGGTCCTTCATCTGTCCATCTCTGGGGGAAGGCCAGGGGATTGGCTCTCAGCCACCCAACACTTGAGTCCCTCACTTGTCCACACGCTTTTCTTTTGAAACTCACAATGAACTCCCAATTTTCCCAGAAAATAGTGACCTCTCTGATTATCTCATGTCATCATGTCCAGAAAATGCTTTCAGTTCTTTGTTTTCAGGTTATGAGAACTCTGGAATATTGAAGACAAATTAGAATCTGAAGTAGAGGCCATTGTATACAGACATGGTTTGGTAGATGGAAACAGGAACTCTTTTTGTGTGTGTGGTGATGGGATGCAGTGTGCATGAAACCCTCCCAGGGACAGTATTGTGAAACTGTCAATCACTATGACTAAAATAAAATTGAAACAAACAGAGCAAGTAAATCATTCTGGCAACCACAGCAATATGAAATCTAGCAATTTTAAAGACATAGGCGACCCTTAGTTAGAAAGTGAGTTTTCTCCATGTAGATTCACAGACCTTTGGCAGTGCCTCCTGTTGATGTCATTCATGAACAGGGTTTTGTTCGAGTTGTGTGCTATGAGTTTTAGGATTGTCTGAATCTAAAAGTTTGAAAAAGTTTTTCTTTTCATATTTGTTTTTTAGTTTTATGTGTTGTGTGAGTGAAGGCCTCTCTTTTCTGTTAAGAAGAAAAACCAAGAGCCACAAATATCAGGTCTGACCTTAGTTCTAAGCTCCAAGAGATCCAAGGCATACCTAAAACTATTCAAATGTTGATTCATTCCTTTTGTACTGTCTGATGGAATGAATTAATTATGTTAGAAAAACAAATAAGGCTGGAGAGAGTTTGAGTTAAGGCACCTGCATTGCATGCTGCTGCCTCCACGAATTTGACTCCCAGCATCAGGAACAGCAACTGAACAGAGAGCCAAGAATCACCCCTCAGCACTACTGGGTGTGATGCCAAAACAGAGCAGAAAAAATATATGAATCGAAAAATACAAATAAAATGTGTTCAATTTAGTTGGATCACAATTGAAAGGTTTCTGGTTATTGGGCCTATGAAAATTTTTGGAGTTTTCTACATTTCTTTGATTGAATGGATTTAAAATGTGAACATTAATTTACAAAGAAATAAAATTCAACCAACTAATTATTATCCTCATGTATATATCTTTTGGCATCAGATATCAACCTAAACAATTTGAAGTGGGGGGTGAGGAAGGGGGACAGGGATTAGGACCTTAGAATTTTCACAAGCACCTCAGTCGTACTGCTAGAGATTAATAACTATGTTCCTATGTTTGGTATTTTACAACACAAATTTGATATACCTGTAAGTACTGAATGTCTGCTTGATTGTTTATAAAGAATGGCAGATGTTTCATTAAATAGCTGAAATTGCCAAAAATATTCATTATCAAATGCCAGAAAAGGGGAACCATCTTTTCAATTTTATCCTTAAAACACATCAAAGAAAGATAATACTCAGTGTGAACTAAGAAACTAACAAATAATATTTTAAATGACAATTTTGAAATTAAAATTTCCATTTCATGAGTAGGAATCACTTTTCTTCTTCAGCAAATCAGTATTTGGTCTGTGAAAAACGATGCTAGCTCATCATGTCATGCATCACACTCACAATAAATCTTTCTTATTAACTGCTTGGCTACAATTTATTTTCCTCTCAGGCTACGAAAGCGCGTGTGCTAGTGCAGCTGACTCTGGCGGGAGCTGATAAGCCAGTCCATAGCAGCCGCACTGCTGGCCTGATGAGATTTGTAAGAAGACAATATTCTATTGGCTCAGAAAACTATGCTGTGTATCAAACCTATCAAAAATAATATCTACAAACAATGCCTTGATGCATTTGCCAACTCTCAAAGAAAAGCTCACTGGTGGTGTTCTAAAAATATAGTTTGATTTCTGTTTTAAGTGAAAGTATACAGACTTGTTTGAAAGATTCTTGCTTACAATTGCTTTGTTTTTTGTTTTTTTGGTTTTTTTTTTTTTGCTTTCATTCTTGCTTTCATTTGCTTTCCACTAATCGTGGTAGTCCAAAAGAATATTTTTTCAGCATTGGCTTTCAAGTAGATATCACTGTAGTTCAAGTAGAAGCAAGATTACCCACCTTTAAAGGATCGGTCATATATTTCACAGAGGAGAAAAAATGTAATCAAGAAATGATCACAAGAGAAGTATATCACAATCCCGCAAACTAAAATTTTCATTTTAAGTTTTCCAGTGGTTTTCAAATGAAATAACTATCTCTGAGAGACACAAACACCCCTCACCTTAAAAAAAAAAGTAGCATTTTCTTTTGCTTGAAATAATTGCTTACTCTTTGTGTTATCGACTTTGCACAATTGTTTGTCTCAAAAGCACTTGCAGTATTCTAATCCATGATATCTCTGAGATCATTGTTTTCATCCTAAAACGGATACTATGAAAAAATATTACTTTAAAGACAAAGCACCAAGATGAATTAGTGTACTGGATATATTCACATTATACAAGTATTACATAATTTAAAGGAAATAAGGTACAAAGATATCATATTTATATAATGTTTTGCAGCTTACAATATACTGACATTTCCCACAGCGCTAGATAAGATAAAGCTTGCACAAAAATTAACTATAAATGCTGATTATTATTATGACTGTTTACTACATACTCTGTATATTGATATATCATTGACTCCTCAAAACCACTACATGAAATTTCTTAAAAAGTAATTTTCCAGTGGCTCAGAAAAACCTCTGCTATATAGCAAACCTAGACCTCCAAATCATGTATATCTAAAATAGGCTTTTATGTTTAGCTCTATGCTCAGAGATCATTCTGAGTGGTGCTCAGGGCACCATATGTGGTAATGGGCCTAGTGTTATTACAACATTCTTCACCCCTCACTTTCATTTTATATTTTGTTTTCTATACAATCATATAGCAAAATAAACTTTTTATCTATATGTTCTGCAAATATTAACTCTATGTACTGTCAACTCAATACTTAAGAGTAGTCACCACAATCAGAATAATAAAAGCACCTCAAATCCTCCTTTGTTCTTCCCCTTTGTTATGACACACACAAACAACTTATTCCTAAGTACTGCTAATTACTTATTGGTTTTCAAGACTGTCATGTTATCACAATCAAAGGATATTTTACCTTTTGACATAGGCTTTTCACCATATATTGTCTTTGAAACTCATCTGTTTTTACATATATCAATCAATAGCTTATGCCTTTTTATTCATTTTAAATATTAAAATGGATGAATCATTTTAATATGACATAAATATCTACTATTTTCCTATAGTCATTTTCATTTCATCATTTGTGCATAGCTTCTTTTTTATTAATTTTTTAATTTTAATGTATCAGCATGATGTACAGTTACATACTTACAAACTTTCGTGCTTACTTTTCAGTCATACAATGATCAAGTACCTATCCCTCCACCAGGGCAAGTTCTCCACCACCAATATTCCCAGTATCCCTCCCAAAACCCACCTCCACTTCACTCCCTGCTTCTGTGGCAGGCACATTCCCTCCTACTCTCTCTCTCTCTCTCTCTCTCTCTCAATCTCTTTCTTTCTCTCTCTCTCTCATTTAGGGTGTTGTGGTCTGCAATGCAAGTATTGAATGGCCATCATGTTCAGTCTATAGTCTACTTTTGGCATGCATCTCCCATCCCAAGTGGGCCCTCCAAGCACCCTTTGCTTGGTGTTCCCTTCTCTATCTGAGCTGTCTTTTCCCCCAGCATGTGAGGCCAGATGCAAACCTCCTGGTACTTATCTCTACTATTCTTGGGTGTTAGTCTCCCATTCTGTTACTTTATATTTAAAAATATGGAACACTTAATAAATTTTTGTGTCATCTTTGCCCTGGGGGCATGCTCATCTTCTCTGTATCATTCCAATTTTAGTATATGTGCTGCTGAAATGAGCACTGTGTATGGCTTCTTAAGACATAAATTTTGGTCCACCTTCAGTTATTTTTTTAAATGTTATGAGATGATGGATCCAGTTTTTTTAAGTTTTTTAAATGTAGTTATCCAGTTTTCCCAATACCATATGCTAACCATGTTTTCCTTGCTTCAATTTATGCACCACACTTCTTTGTCATAGATTAAATTCCATAAATCTGATGATCTACTTCCAATATTCCAAGTCTGTTTCATACATTTGACAGTCTATTTTTAGTCCAATACAAAGTAGTTTTGATAACTATAGCTTCTAAGTATTATTCCATGTCAGGACAGGCAATACATACTTTCTTCTTTCTTTCTCAAAATTGCTGTGGCTCTTTGAGGAGTTTTACCATTAGGGATTAGACAAAAATCCATCAAATACATTGGAAAAAACAAATAGAACTCTTCAAGATATGGATCTCAGAGGTATCTTTTTTCTTTTAATTTTTTATTATCTTTTATTAAATTTATTTATTTATTTTGAATACCCATCCACCAGTAAATATTTCCCGCCACCACGGATCCCAGTAACCCTCCCAACCCCCCATTCCATCCCCATCCCACCCTGCCTCTGTGGCAGGGCATTCCCTTTTGTTCTCTCTTTCCTATTCAGTGTTGTGGTTTGTAAAAGAGTTAAGCCTGATTTTCAGGGAGAAATCTTGGAGAATTTACTTTCCATTAACCACTTTATATATAAGAAGATGTCACGCAGCCGCATAAGCGGCCACGCGGTTTGGAGTAAGAGTCCTGGTTCCTGCATAAGCGAGCTATGCTTGTAGAGGCTCATGGTCACCGGGGTTCCCTCTGGAGGAGGCGGGATGCGGCACCTATCCCATCTGGGACTTCCCAGTGATCTCGGCTCTCTTCAGGACCAGGAGCATTCTCGGTAGCTGTGGAGGCCAGAGGTATCTTTAATTATTTGATGCCATGGACAAATATAACAAAATGAGAAATATACAAATGGGACTACATCAAATTTAAAAATTTTTACATTAATAGAAAATCAGAAGAAAATTTTAAAACATCACGTTAAATGGGAGAAAATAATGCACCTAATACATCAGATAACAGTGATAATATCTGTTAGATACATAAATCACTCACAAAGACTGACAACCAAAAACAAGAATCCCATCAAAAATAGGTAAAGGAGATAACAGTCATTTCCTGCAAAAGCCATTTAAATAGCAGGTAGGAATATTAAAACGTATTCTTCATCACTTATTGTCAGAGGAAAGTATATCAAAACAACAATGGGATATCATTGCACACTAGTGAGAATGACTCATACCAAAAGATTGAGAACAGCCAGTGTTGGTGGGATTGTCATCAGGCCCATTCTCTATGGAAAACAATTTGGATATTCTTAACAAAGTGAAAACCAAATCCCATTTGACCCAGCAATTCTACTTCTTAGCACCCACCCCTCAAAAAAATATTAATTCAAAAACATATATGCACATCTATGCTAATTGTAGTGCTTAGCAAAGTAGAAAGGATATGGAAATAACCTAAATGTCCGACAACAGATGACAGATAAAAAAGTCATTTTACATACATTATATATACACATTGGAGTTCAGTGAACCTATCAGAAAATAATAAATCAGGCTGTTGACTGCAATATGACTAGAACTGAGGATATCATGTCAAACAAAATAAATCAGAGATAAAAGGACATATACCAAATTATCTCACTCATCTATGATGTATAGAGATACAAAACAAGGAAATGGGAAGTATTGAACAATGACAAAGTATTAAACAATTGCAAAACTCTAACAAACTGTGGGGGGAGAAAGGGAAAAATAATACTTAGACTAAAAGTAAGTGATACTAGACTAAAATATAACATAGAAGATTTTAGGCATTTTGGTGGTGGTGAGGTGCAGCAACTTTGTACATTGATACCAAATACATTAACACTATTGTAACCATGTTGCCTGAACTATAATATACTTTTAAAATTTAACTTCTGTGTCCATTGGCTTGTCTTAATTGGTTTATCTAATTAAGTTTTGATTCCCATTTCTACATCATTGGAATAAAGAGTTATTATACTATTGAAAGTTGATTCTAGAACATTTTTCTCATATTTAGAAAACTATCTTTACTTGAGTTCTTAGAATTTAGATATAGGAATGATCTAGGATTTTATACAAGATTTTAATCAAAAATGTATGTGAAAGTGGGATAAACAAAAGGGATTCTGTATTAGTAAGTAACTTTGAGCAGGAAAGTTTCAAAACCAAAACTTATTTTTGCTTATATTTAGCATTTTGCTAATATTCAGAGAAACTTTCATTGCTACATGAATAAGATGTGAAATATTAAGTATTACTTTACTTTAATTAGAATTCCACCTTCAAAATCATAAAATTAAAATTTACTGCCTATTCAAGCTATAATGAACCTGATCCCATCTTTCCCAGGAGCTCAGAGCAATGTTTTGTGCAAAGATAACTCTAGACACAGTTGATTAAAAGAGCTGTTTCCTATCTTTCAGGGACATTGCTTTTCTAAATGCTCCAGTGGCTCCTTGTGTTTCCATTGGCATAAAAGAGAATGTATTTATTCCCAATAACATAACCAACAGATGTCTCCAAGGTCATAAGGCAACTAGGATTGTAGCAGTTTGTGGTATTTTTGCATCCCTTACGGCTCATTGGAAATAAATGTGCAACCACCTGTGTTCTAACTTCTTGCCCATGCAATCAAGTTTTTTTGTAAAAGAGCCAAGTTAAAAAATAAAATGACTCTAGAAATTAAAATTTCTCTTTCAAGTTTTAATATCCAGCACAAAATTGATGTGAACTTTAAGAAATTAAAGGAGCAAAATTTATTGGGATTTTTGAACTGTGTCCTGAGCCTGAGGTGTAGCTCAGTGGTGGGGCACTAGCCTTGCACTGATGAGGACTTGGATTCTATCCCCAGCACAATTTTTTAATTGATTTTTTGTTCTTCACTATAAATTAACCTGGGTTGTTAAAATATTTTTACTGATATACAAAAAAAGATATTTTTTTCACAAGCTATTACTCCATGGTCTGCTCAGAATATTTCTTCTGACTTTCTATAACTTTATGCTGTGCCTCTTGACCTTGCTATGATGCCATCTCTCTTACCATGAGGCATTTTCAGAATCTTATGACTTCCCACATCACTGCAAGAAACCGTGCTGATGTGTACAAGTGTTAAGAGACAAGACTATTTCCAAAGAGATGCTTCCCATAGGAAAACTGCTTTTAAATATTAACTGGTCATGTTAATGTCCTACTAGAATCATCTCTGACCCAGCAAGGAAAGTAGTGAATTGAGAGAGACACAAATCAATTAAAAAAAAACCCAAACTGCGTATTAGTTTTAATTTGGGTTTCTCTTGATTAAATCCTTAGAAGGTGAAAGAATCATAACTATTACAAAAATACTTATCAATTCCTCACCAAACTATAATTCTACTGCAGTTACCTATTAAGTAGTTACCTAATAAATATCACACACATTAGTTATCATATCCTGATATGGTTCTTTTCCACCTCTTTTAGATAGATTTAGCATAAAATCTGACTAATCTAGTGTGAACATAATGGAACAGGTCCTTGTTGGTACAGTTCATTCCAACATGCTAGAATGTCTCACTTAACTGTTAAGTAATAATTTAATTTATTACAAGTCAAAATTTCATAGTTTTGGAAGTAAACCATTCTTAACATGAGATTACATTCAAGGTCATTCATGTAAGTATACCTATGAGGTAGATTGTTTAACAGAGTAAAATTCGTTCCTTTATCATTCATAGTGTTCCTCACAAAATAAGCTTTTATCAAAATACTTGCTAAGAAAATAAATCACAGTATCCCAGTGCTCTTTTTGAGAAGTAAAGTCAGAGAGATATTACAGTGGGTAACGAACTTACCATGCATACTGACCTGAGTTCAACCCTCATCCCATATGGCCCCCATATGATGGAAGCCCTGAGTACAGAGCCTGGAGCAAGCCCTGAGCACTTTCAGATGTGGTACCAAATCAAACCAAATTTGGAAAAATAAATAAGAAACATGTGTTTTTAAACATGGGGCAAAGAGATAGTATAGTCAAAAAAGTGCTTGCCTTATAAGTGACCAACCATATTCTATCCCAAGCACTACAATATGGTCTTCCAAGAACCACCAGGAATAATGGCTGATCACAGAACAAGGGGTAAGCCCTGAATATAGCCAGGTATGACCCAAATTTTCCCCTCACAAAAAAATGAAGGTGTTACTTGTCACCCATGGGAATTCAATTGCACATAGGAGTATGACAGCAATACTATTTATCAAAAGCACTGCATGCATGGCAAAACAAGACAGAATTAGTATGTTAGAACTCAAACACACAATTTCTAAAAGAATCTTTTTTTTAACCTTGAACAGAATGTTACGCAGCAGCAATAGTCACCATAAAAGAGTGATTTTGTAATACTTCAGTTTACGTCCATAGTGCCTTTTATTCTCATGCCTTTATTACATTAGGTGGTCATTTTTATTTAAAGAACAACTAAAAAGGACTGGGAAAGGGGCTGAAGAGGTAGCATAGTGGGGAGGGCATTTGCCTTGCACACAGCTGACCCGGGTTCGATTCCCAGCATCCCCCGAGCACTGCCAGGAGTAATTCCTTAGTGCATGAGCCAGGAGTAATCCCTGTGCATTGCCGGTTGTGACACATAAAGGGAAAAAAAGGACTGGGAAAGTAATTCAAAGGCTGCTGTGACATGCCTGGCATATGGAAACTCAGAGTTCAATTCCCAGCACGGCATGGTCTGCTACACCCTACCAGGGTCACTCTGAGGACCCTAACAAATCTGGTCCCAAGAAGCACCATGCTATATATATATTGCTGGGAGAAGTCCAAGTTTCCTCTTGCACTCTTATGGGAAAAGCACCACACCGAAAAATTATGAACCAAAATGATCATACTGGTAGTATACAAACTGTGTT